ATTTGATCACCCATAGTTACATTAGTTACATTTTTGTCACTAGATCTACCACTACTAAAATTACGTTCCATGTATTCAGTTTTAGTTCTACTCAAACGAAGACCTTTAGACTCCAAGGTAGACATTCATAATTCAAATTTTTCCTGAGCTTTTTCTCTATTCTTATCAACGAGCGGATATCAACAGCAAAAAGCATAAACCAAGGTACATCCTCCTGTCAGTGTCCAGAAAAGCGTGCTAAAAAGCACAACAACAACAACAACAACAAAACCTTAATCCCACTAAGTGGGGTCGACTACATGAATCTTTTTTTCTCCATTGCGTCCAATTTAGTGTCATATCATCATTTAGTTCTAATAAATTAAGAAAATTTTTATACAATAAGCCCAAAACTTCCTATGTCTACCTCCGCCTTTTTTAACATAAATCGAATCTAAAACATCTACTCTCCTAATCGGATCATCAGATGATCGACGTTTAATGTGATCAAACCATCTAAGATGAATTTCTCTAATTTGGTCTGCAACAGGAGCTACACCAACCCTATCACGGATATATTCATTTCGCATTTTGTCTCTAAGCGTCATTTTGTCTCTAAGCTTGTCTCTAAGCGTAAAGTCACTCATCCACCCAATCATTCTCATCTCGGCAACATTTAACTTAGTATTATACTTCTCTTTTAAAGGCTAATATTCAGCGGCTAATAGTCAGCGTCATAGAGCATTGCAGGTCTCACCACCGTCTTATAAAATTCTCCTTTAGTATAAGCGGTACTTCTCTATCACCTATCACACAAAAGGCTTAAAGGCTTGAAGCATTCCTCCATTTCAACTAACCAACTTGAATTCTACTATTAACATCCCAATCTATATCACAATCGCTATGAACAGCAGACTCAATGTATCTAAATCGTACGCACCTATTAATAATTTGATCACCCAAAGTTACGCTTTTGTAACTGAGCTACTACTACTAAAATTACATTCCATGTTTTCAGTCTTAGTTCTACTCAAATGAAGGCCTTTATAATCCAATGTAGACCTCCATAATTCAAATTTTTCTGGGTTTTTTCTTTCGTCTTTTGCACGAGAAGACTATCATCAACAAAAAGCATACACCAAGATACATCCTCCTGTAAATGTCTAGTAAAACCATCCATAACTAAAGCAAAAAGACATGGGCTTAAAGTCGAGCCCTGATGTAATCCAAGAGAAATAGGAAAATATTTGGTCAATCCTCCCTCGGTTCGAACACAAGTAACAGCTCTAATATACATATTTTTAATGACTTGAATATAAGTCATATCAACACCTTTGTTCTTAAGAACTCTCCAGAGGATATCTCTTGGAACCTCATTATAAGCTTTTTCTAAATCAACAAAAAATCAAAAGTAGATTCTCCTTGTTATCTCTGAACTTCTTCATCAAACCTCTCAATAAATTCATAGCTTCCATAATAGACCTGCCCGGCATAATCCAAATTGATTATGAGAAATCTTTGTAATACGTCTTAACCTATTTTCATTTACCCTCTCTCATAATTTTAAAGTGTGACGCATTAACTTAATTCCTCTATAATTTACACATTTTTGTGCATCCCCATAATTTTAAAAAGCAAACAAAAAAAATCAAGGCCTACAAGATCTTACAAGAAACCAAACACAGGAGATGAACAAAACCAGTACACCTGAATGTCAACTATGGTCTATTTACTACAAGAAAAAACAAAAAAAAGGTAACAGAAAATCATAATTCTTTATAGAAAGGTTCATTATAAAAAAAGGATAGTCCAGAAAGAAAATTGCTCAAGTGGTTTCAATTAAATCAAATTAAATACAAAAGAATAACAGTAAAGTTTAGCTGTTATGAAAGTTTTTTGCCACAAAAAATGTAGTACAGAGAAAAATTTACCCATGGGCTCTGATATAAGAATATCTGCTTTCTCAGGTAGTTCAACCTCCTCAATTTTGCCCTTGATGACCTATTATGCAAAAACTACAATATTATAACTAGAACTACAGGATCGAACAGCGATAGTCCAATTATTTAAATAAATCAAACCGTTATGCGATCCCCAAGTGATGGATTCCCAGCTACCAGCCTGCTTGCATATTCCGCCATTTCAGATGCCTCTACAGCATACACATGTTTGGCACCAGCCTAGAAGTTGGCAAATGATTCAGACCAAATTAATTATATATTTCTTGAATGCACTTGTAGAAAGAATACAGCACTGTGAAGGTATAAACAAGTATTATAAACAACTTATTTTATCAGTTAAATATTATCAAGGCAAACCTGAGCAGCAAAGAGTGAAAGTATGCCACTACCAGCACCAACATCAACTACAACGCGATCTTGAAAGTCTATACTGTTTTCAATTACTGCGGAATAATAGGTTCCTGTAAAATTATGCTCAAAATCAATTGCAGGTTTATAGCCAATGCATCAACAATAGAAATTCCTGAAGAAATTTTGAAGCTCAAGATTAAGCAGAGAAACAACTTCATGCAAAACAATTATTTGAAATCATAACCTGTCCGGACATAATCTTGCAGCATATTCTGTTGATGCAGCAACTGGCCGTAGTAATGAAAGTACATTTTGGCAGAAGAAGCCTCGATTTTGCTATCAAATTTACTTTTAGAATAAATTATAGATCCATTTTCCAAAGGCCCTGGGGATAAACATGAAGCAAAAGGTGATAAAACAAGTTGAGCTTCATATCAAAAATTCTAAAACATGTCTTCTTCCGCATAAGCTAATTTTAAAATATTTTTGATAAAATACTACGAAAAGAAGCGTGCCACAGATCTTTATCTGTCAGCATAACATCATGAATAGATGTATGAATAACCATGAAGAATCATCATATCCTCAGGTCATGCAAGAGAACAGCCGATCAATATAAAAACTAGAAGTTACTTTTCACAGAGTACTGAGGAATCCTAAATTAAGCCCACCAATATAAAATGACAAACAGCTTTTATGCAAGCATAAACAAATACTTCAAACCACAAAGAAAGCCATAACCTTCAGATAGGGCAGCCAACTCAAAGCCCACTAACACTAAAAAGGAAAAAATTATGAATATAAAATAAGCTGGATATACCACCTTAAAGAAATTTGGTATAGTGCAGACACAGAGCATGTATCGTATATGGCTGACTAAAAAAAAAATCATAAAACTATTAAATATATATTAAAAAGAGGAAATAAGAAGAGGCAGTGCACGTCTAGGTTGCCTTCATCATCTAAACCATAAGGATGTCACCCCCTGATTAGCACAATCCCCACACTTTAATAGATCACACCAATACCGGATTGAAGAAAGAGGCAGAGTCAAATCCAACACTTCAAACCATACGACCATGCAACATATCCAAACAAACACTAGCAATGCCGAACTTTAGCATCATAAAGCATCATGCACTCTTTTGATTGAAAACTCGAGATGGCTAGGAAGCAATCATAGATCCACAAGGCTCATAATATACACTATAGAAAGAGTTTATTTACATTGTACATTAATACGTATTATTTTCTTCCTTTCTCAAGGGAATGATCAAATCATCCAGCATCTGATGCAAATCCACCAAAAAAAAAAAGAATAATAGACACGAGCAAAAAATAAGTACATAAGACAAGGTCTGACATAATATGTAACCAATAAAAGGAATCATTATGTATGTATTATGAAGGTCAATCGTCTCTGTTGGAGAGGATATCTTTTTTTGTCTTATTCACCGGACGACCACCATAATATAATGGAACAATGAGCGAGCACAATATTTTGAGGAGCAACCAAATATTTCACAGCTACTGGATTGGCATTTATAGAAGGTGAGTTAATTGAAAATAAATTCAATCAGTTTGCATATAAATCAAATAATAAACAATGTACCCATTAAATAAATAGATAAAAATCATTGTCAAACGCCTAGGAAGGACAAGAATAGACCCAAGGTCATGAGGATAAAACTTGTTAGAAATAATTTGTGAAGAATAAACTTAACTCCACAAATAGCAAAAAATAAGAATGAATAAGAATAAGCCAAAGCAAATAATTGAGACAAGTAAAATAATAAAGATGTTGGTCGGCATAACTATGAATGTATTGTCAAAAGGAATGCAGAAGTCCGCCACTGCATCAGCTTATCTCCATTGCCAACCACCCCTTGCCACAGTCGCCGACCCCCACCCCTACCCGCCACAGCTGACCATTGGATTGTACACTGCACTTCAGTGTATTCATCCAAACATTTTAAAAAAAAATCATGCATTTAAAATGTACTCATCCAAATATCTATATTTATTTTTCAATATACTATATTTACTTTCACTGCATTCCTTTTACATTGGATTCATTTTTCAGTAAAATAAATAGCCCCTGAGATAAGGATTTCTTCTCTTCCCTTTTTCCAATGGCAAAAAGAAATAACTCTCCAACATGTTTTCCTTTTAGTGCACTTACTCACCCTCCTCCTTGCATATAAAGTTTTATAATTTGTTAGCATCTCATGCGTAAATTACATAGATATGAAACCTCACTTTTGCTTACATATGCACGTCTAAGCTACTAATTTTTTCCATAATAAACCATTTAATAATAAAGAAATATGATTGCATTGACCTAAAAAGCCAACTCCATGCATCACCATTAAAAATGATTAAGTTAAGCATCGTGATTAAGTTGTGTTATTATAGCCATATTGCTTTTAAAAAAATGGGTCATAAAAAAATTTAAATTTAAATTCAAATTCTTATGATTTTAACTTATACATTTGAGTTCAAATACAATCAATGTAAGAAAAACCATCCATGCTGCTAGTAATCATATTCCGTTCTTCCTTCCAGCTCATTCCCCAAACTATGGTAATCTAAACTATGGGATTGATATGGAATAAGAAAAAATAATTCTGGCACGGTGACATAATAGAATCTTGATGACAAGTTTAGCTAATGCCCGGCCATATGCTGCAATGCAGCAGCAAAGCAACTGTAAAATCTTTTGTATATCCAAATGAATTTCATTCACAACCTTATGCCATATCAGTAATGCAATAATGCACAAAAACATGGTGTCATGTTGACAAATAAAAGCTAACATTATGTGTTGGCAAAGGTAATAATGCGATTTAGTATGATAGATTAAAGATTAGAGTAAGTAAGCTAGTCATTCATTTCAAGGTCCTATAAGTGCATGTTTTCTGTTCTCTATACACACAAGGCCAAGTACTTCGAGGATTATCAAATATGCTTTGTGTCAGTCAAGGCGTCCGATAGAATCATGTGGGTCAAGATTCCTAACTTTTTGCAGATTGAGACAAAATGGAATACACAGTCCAACTTAAACATAGGGGCTTAACAAGGCCTTTATTTCAGTTCTTACTCCAAGGTTGTCTTATAAAGAAACGCCGCACTTGCTAGGTTCACTGAAAAATTTTTGCACTTCATATTGTCGATGAACACATATTATTACCAGGAGATAAAAAGAACATTAAGCAACGTCTAAACCAGAAAAAAGAAACAAAAATGGTTGCCATGATTTAGAATAATTGCAGATGTACCAATTTTCATATGTGATACTCCGTGCTTCCACTGTCCAAATTCTGTGTCAAAGGCTCTCCGTTGCTCGGGTGTTTTGAATGCAAGCTTGAAAGCTTTTGAAAAGGAAGGATTCTGGCATAGCAAATAATAAAAAAGGTGAGAGAACTATTAACTCAAGAAAAAGTGTTAGGGGAAGATGTCAGTAGATAAATGAATTTGCAATAGAATACAAAATCAAAAGCAAGGTGTGTTGCTAATAAAAGATTTATGTTCTAAGCATGAAATAAGTGAGACCTGTGATGCAATCCAATAATTTTGATTCAATCAAGATTTACCTTAAGAAATACTTTATTAAAAAAACAACTTTAATTTCACTAAGACTCGCTAAAAAAAATGAACTATCTCAATTTATCAACTAAACAGATGATAAGAATAAATAACAGAAAAAAGACGCATTTATTCAGTATTTTTTTTTTTCACATAAAGTACTTCCCAAACAATGAACATATAAGCACAGCCAGCGAGTGATAATTCTCTTGAACACTTATTTTCCAATCATATTAGCGCCATTTCTTAGAAACCTAATAGTGCATCTTTCAACAATGAGGCAGCCAATGATTGTTTGAATGGAAACTATGTTGTTCCAAACCTGTGATATTTTTTCAACTCAGTTGAAGGTCGTTCTTCAATTGAAACAAGTGATCCATTGTCATCCAAGGACTGTTTGCATAAACACTCCAACTCAGGTGAAAATCGCTCTTCGGTCAACACAAGTGGTTCGTTGTCATACCATGACATTGTGCTCAAATAAACAACACATTCCAGACATGAGAATGGTTTTTTTTTTTCTTCTTTTTTTCCACTTGGGGCTGGTGGTTTGTCACCATCTCTATAGTTTGTGCAATCTTAACAACATGAGAAAGTCATTTATGTATGTTCAAATATACCTTTCTTTTTGTTATATTTGCATTCTTGATATATTTTAAATTATTTTCTATAAACAGTTTTTATTGTATCTGATATATTTTTTTTCTCAAATATACAATGATCCTTAAATTATTGGCATGCTTTATCAATATTTTATATAGATGCATGTGTTGAGTATGAAGTTTCGAGTAGCCCAAAAGTTAACATGTTATTATATTTTGAATAAGAGGAATGTAACTATTACATTGTATATGCTAGATTAGTTGGCTTCAATAAACAAAAAGATCATCAGACAAAAAGACAACTGACGTTATAAATACATCTTGCAAAGCATTCAACCTATCAACAAAGAACCTGTTACTTAACAAAGAATCACAATAAAGTTCTTTATATTCTTCAAACATTCCCCACATGGCCCTCATGGTGTAGATCCTTATAAACTCATGCTTTTTTAGTTGGACATTGAGGCATGTATGATGCTTTTAGTTTCTAGGAGAACAAAAATCAGGTGAAGCTAAATCTTTAAACTTTCACATGACATAATGTTGCCCATTGAGAACTTGGAGAACCAGTGTGTCACATCCGTCAAAGTTCTTAATAGCACAAAAGCATTGAGAGTTTTGGATACAAAATGCAAGGTTATCATAACCATGAAGATCAGTCCTGCCACATTGACAAACTTTGTCAACAGTGGTTCCTCCATTATCTCCGGCACAGAGCTTAAAGGTTGTGATAAATCCTTCTCAGCTTTGAATGTTCTGGGTTTTGACATCATATCATCATGGGTGTCAAGGTATACTCACGCAATCAACCTACTTTATTCCAACTCTGAGGTGGTTTCTTCTCCCCATCCCCATGCACATTCATTGGTCAACAGCCGAAGGTTTACTTAACATAGATTAAGAAGTTAACATTGTTAGCCAACTTGGCTCGCAAGGAGCAATTTAGTCAAATTGATGATTTTTTACTGCATATACATAAACTAGGCATCGAAGACAAGGTTACTTCTTCATGGTCAGCTGCCAGAGATTCTTGCTCTAGAATATCATTTCGAAGTCTCTCTTTGACCCACACCCAATTTTTTCCTTCACATGACCATAATAGCAATGAAAGTACCAAATATTGTGTCATATAGTGCGACTCCAATGAGTGTTGTGTATTTTTGGCTGAGGAGATACTTTAAACTATATAGATAAACAAAAGAGCCTTGCAAACAAGGTCAATAAAAACATATAGTAACAGAGAGGAAGAAAGGGAATGGCAATCTCTCTAGCCGAAATACGATTTTTACTTCTGCCTCTATATCTAGTGACTAGGATTTATTAGTTTCCAAATATAATTACTCATATGATATCATATAGAATATTTATAAGAGAATTTGGAGTGTTGTGGATCAAAATCACTAATCACTCAGCATCAAAGACTTTGGGAATCTCTCCTTGATAAAGACTTATGTTGCTCCCAGAAAAGAATCTCAGACCCATAGATGAATCTTAGTAGGGACTCTTCTCCAAAATGTCAAAAATCCTAAATTAGTCACCAGTAGCTCAATTTTGTTGCTTGCTCTGAATTTAAAAAAATAAAGGGAAAAGTACCTGCATATTGATTACTATATAACCGTCAGATTGTGGTACCAATCGATAGGTGCTAAGTAATCGCCAATAATGAGTTAATTTTCAATTGGATAAACCAGCTATGGTGAGGAAAATTATTCATATAGCAACCCAGACAGAATAAGCTTGGTTGTGAAATGTGCTAGCATTGAGTATAATCGTCATTCAAAAAGATAAGAAGTGACCTAAGAGATCTTTCACTTAAGTACTAAAATAGTGGTGATCAAGCTTTGGAAAGATTGCCCAAAGCCGCGTGCAGTTAAGTTCCCACATAATCATCTGAAAGCACTGTCTCCAAGTCTTTCATAATTTGGTACCCCTTAGGTTCGCCATTCTTTAGCCATGAACTCTCCAAGTCATTCATAATTTGGTACCCCTTAGGTTCTCCATTCTTTAGTCATGATGTCTTTGTTGTTTGCATCATGTGCTTTTCTAAAATTTGAGGGCCTATCATCCTCAGCAGTTAAAGTTGGTCATCCGCAAAAGCGACATGAATTCTAACCTTGAGGTTGAATTGATTATTGTGAATGATTAATCGTGTTATGTTGTGCTTGTATGAAAAAAAGTTTTGGGATTGAACCTTCACAGTGTTGTTTCTTTTTATATTTTTCAAGTCAATACCAATTAAAATGATAGGTTTTCCATTTAATGTTCCATGGTTATCTTAAATTTTAAGGCCGCACACTTTCTTAAGAGAATATGAAAACTCAAATCCACACGAAAGACATATCAATGAAGAAATATAACCTAATACAAACCAGAATACTAAACATGCTACGGTAAAATCAAACGAAGCTCTAATAAACTGGCACGATGGTAGAAACCCAACAAAAAGTTGTGGCCAGTAGGCCCTGCTAAAATACTTCAAAAAAATATAAACAGCTCGGATCAGTTAAACTCGTATAAAGATGCAAAGGTGAATCCTTGGGATAGAAATAAATCATTCCAGTAGGTTTAAATTAATTTCAAATGACATTAAATAATTGCAATCTGTGAAAAAAAAAAATCATTGCGCATAGTCGTACCTCTTTAGCATCACTGTTTCCTGGTTCTTCAACTATGACCAACGCCTCCAAAGGTCCAAGATTGACCAGCTAAAAATCAAAACAGAGAAAATGCCGCATGAACATAACAAGCATCACATAAGCGGCTAACCTAAGCAATTAAAAGAAAAAATTCCGAGCAGGCATTAAACAAAGGCCAATAGGGTCAAGAGAACCCCGCATTCTCATCCGAGAAATAAAGAGTCATCGAACCTGGGAGCTGCACAGACCGAAGCAGAGAATGTCTCCGACTGATTCAGGCAAGTGGAGACGAAGCTGGGGAACTCCGGATTTGGAGACAGCAAAGAAGGCGGTGACGACTGACGGAAGCGGATGGGACGACGTCGAGGGCGAGAGGTCCTCTAGGACGACGCCTGTGAAGTCCAGATTATGCGTCGGCTTCCGGTCAGGCGAAACCTCCATCGCCACCTGATACCGCCCTATCTCACGTCACTAGGGTTTCCAATCAAGACAAAATTAGGGTATTCTAGGGTTGCAGGGGAAGCCGATGGAGTGGAAGGCCCCAGACGCCTCCAAGTTACGAGTTTGGACGAAGCAAGAAGGGGAGGATGAGGAAGGTTAGTGTTAAATCCAAATTCCATCACTGGTAAATCAGAAACTTGTACATTTTTGTACAATAAATTGTCTTCTATTTTGTCCCCACTAATGGGCGAGCCCCTTTGACTAAAAGTCTAATTAATGCTCATTAAGAATCATTTGTGCTGAAATCAATCTCATGTATGCTATGCTGAGCTTTAGATTCTTAGGGTCTGATCGGTGCAGTTGGAGCTAAATGAACCTTTAATATAAATCTTAAACATAATTGAAGCTCAATATTGGCCCACTAAGCTCATATGTGGCTTAATGAATCAAATCAAATCTAAATTTAATCAAAATGGCTAGGCACTTCCTTAAGTCCTACCAAAGTCAACCAAGCCAATTTCAAGTTTATTGGACTCAGATTATGTCTAATTAGGCATTAAAGCGACTATAATCCAATCAAGTATAAATAAATGAAATTAAATCCAACACAATCCATTCAAATCTGGTTAGGCACTTCCCTAGGTTATTTTAAAGCCAACTTAATCAACTGATTGACATTGGGCCTAAAATTTAGCTCAATTGGGTCATAACCCATTGTTGACTAGGGTTGAGAAATTGGCTCGAAGATCTTTAATCGCTCGAAAATCAATTTGATTTTGAACTTTAATCGAGATCGAATCAAATAGAACGAGCCGAGTTATGAGCTAAAAATTTGGATCGATAATATTTTGAACTGATTCTGAGCCGTTGTCAGATCGGACCAATTTTTTGTGTTAATTTAATCTTCGTCATCTGACGCGGACATTCAGTTGGTCGCTCTATCACTCACTTAAATCCCAAAACTAAGTGTTTAACCATATTTCCTCATTTCTTCCACAGTCACTCGAGTGGTGGAGTCTCGATCAGTCTCGAGTGTCTCTCCCTCTCATTTCTTCATCTGAGTTTGTGTTCACCGGTCTACCCTTTGCGTCTCTACGCTTTGAGAAATCTCTAACCCTATCTTAGCTAAGAATCTACCAATAGGTACCGACGTGTTACACACATTTTGATGGCATTGGCATTCTCTTCGACTACAACTACTATTTTTTTATATATTATGTAACTTCCTTATCTTAATCTTACATTTTTTTTCATCTAAGAGTCAAAATATTGTCGGTTAAGTTCCTATAGTATAGTGGTTTTCTTGATTTTTTTGGTTTGGTCGATTTTCTTCCAAGACATCATATTCTCTTGCTCAGTATTTAATTTTCTTAGATCGCTCGGTTTGGTATGGCATTGGTACATTGGTGCCTTGGTGGTGTGTTTTGAGATTTAGTTTTAGTTATACTGTCTGCACTGTGCAAAATATCTTGCTTTAGTTTGAGAATAATATAATTACTTTTGTTCAAAGAGTTGAAAGTTGAACTTGGCAAGACATTTGTTAAATATACTATGATCCTCCTAAAATTATAAATTCCTCATAATGGTTTGTCAGTAATAGGTCAAGCGCCTATTAAAATGCTTGTCTTGCAACAAATTCTTGGTGTGAAAATAATAGAGAAGTTTGGTGCTTGTGATGCCTCTGCATTATGTGAAAGAAAAAACATCTTGTATTTCATATATTTGGTGCTTGAAATTTGAACTTGGCAAGGCATTTGTCAATGCTTGTGGTTTTCTCGATTTTCTCAATTTTCATCCAAGATACTTTTGTTGGAAGAGTTGGTTCCTAATTTTCTTAATCTCAATCTTACAATGAATTACTCTTGTAGCACACGAATTTTCTTGAACACAAACCTAACATATCATCGAAGATTTGGAGCTCAATGTAGAGATGGTCTCGTTAATATCTGATATTGTTGTTTGTTATTCGATGGTGTTATGCTCTGTTGTGATTGCATTTTAAATATCAAATGTTCCAAGAAGTTTTCTTGAATTTGAAATTGGAGGTCATTTGTTAATTTTTATTGTTTTTGAGTTTTCTTATACATTCAATAAGCACAAAATAAGCTAAAATGCTTATTTGATATGGCTCAAATCTCTTCATATGTGGATATGTTTAACTAAATCATGCAAATTTTGAGGGATTTACAAATCAACTTTAAAATTAAATCTACTTGCTCAAGTTATATTCATGTGTTCTTCCAAAGTGGTAATCTTGTCAAGCAACCAATGTATTTAATTAACCAATGTTGAGTATGTGGCTAATTTGAACGTATTAATGACGTGTCATTGGGGATATAGAAAAATATCTAAATGATCCTTATACTATTTGTCTGACACTTTTAGTCTCAGACTAAAATTGCATTCAATATATTTAGTTGACTCCTTAAATATGATTCATAATAGCCCCTTCGTTGGATTATTTTTTTATAATATTTGAAGAGTCAATGGACTATTTTGGTGAAAACAAAGGAGTCAAAGGGCCAAATTTTATTTATAACATAGTTTAGGACTAAATCATCCATCTATTACTAATCTAAGGACCCCCTTAAAAAATTTCTCTATCCGTTATGGTTTATTCCCTTAACAATCTATATGTCATTTTAAATGGACAAGCTAGCGAGAGAATTTCACTGCATCAATGGTTCACATTTTTTATATCTTTTTAACGTGAAACATCAATGTCAATAAGTTTCTTTTAATTTCTATCTTTGTCAAATTAACGCTCAATTAGGCACTAAATTGCATTTAATTGTATTTATTTCTCCTCTTTCTTTATTCTCTCCATGCTTAGCTAAGGCATGTATTCTTTCTCCATCAGTTAAACATGAGGTTAAATAGTGAATGAAAGCAATTTTTTTTGGCAAGTTTTATGACTTGACCCCTTCTTATTATGTTAGGAAGGAAAAAAAATACTTGAGTATTTACTTTTCTTTTTTCTTAAGAATTAGCAAATGCAATCAAGCTGACTATTTAAGTATTTTTTTTTTAGTTATGATATATTTGTTGGCTATTTATTAGATTAATGTTGTAATTCTTTTATGAAAGCAATGATTAGCTAATCTCAAAGTAGATTTGATTGTTTTGCAAGTGAGCCTCATATTGATGTAGCTCCAATTTCGATTGAGAGTCTGGGTGAAATTGTTGCAAATGAGCATAAGAAAGGTAAAAAACAAAGATCAGAGATATATTACCACTTCACTGAAATATTAGTGACAGAAAAGGGGAAGATCGTGTAGAAGTAAAAATGCAATTATTGTGTGAACTATTATGGGAAACAAAAGGCCGACGTCATTATTTGTCTCGGTTCTTTTAGATCTCGGAGTTGTCAGCTTGTTTATTTATGTGTCGTCGTATAATTTTCCTATTAGAATAAATCTCCCTCCCAAATCAAATGAATGACTCGAAGAGGAAAGGAATCAAATAGCAAAATGACGTACGACAATAAATAAACAAACAGATCAAAAAGAAAAGAGATGGAAGGCTTATATAGGGGTAATCCTCATGAGATGGGTCGAGAGTATACGTCCAAACAGAACTGGATTGAAGCACCCCAGAATACAACATCCACGAGCATAATCTTTATATAAGCCACCCGTAACCAGAGAACCAAAAAGAACATTTTTGTTCTGGGGTCAAAAGTCTCCTAGATAAATGTATTCCTACTGGTTAATTACATCTTAGGGAATACCCAAAAAGACTCTCGATGAAAGGAGTTTCACTTTATTATCATGAATTTGGGGCATGGGTTATCAAAAGGTGATTATTTTGTATGGGACGGTCCTAATGCTCTGAAGCTAGCGCCAAGCCATCAAACAGAGAGTAAATCTCTCACATCCAAATGGATAGCAGCTTCTCAACATACGGTACCTACGAAATAATCATAAATCACTTAAAGGGGGTATCCCAATACGTTATAGAACATCCGGGTCGTAAGGGCAGAAGACAAATCGTCGTATCTAAAAAGGGCGCCAGCTTATCGACATCAAGCCATCAAAGTGATATCAACAAGGTCGAAAGAGCAGAGAGGGCCCAACAAGGGTAATCAAAGGTAGGGAGAAGTAGTCATAAGAAAAAGAGGTAGCCAGGTCGAGGTACCACGAACCCGTCATCCCAAGCCACTAGAACATTAAGTCTACCTGGTCGTGAAAGTAGTCGACCTAATACAACTAGAGATCCCCGGTCAGCAATCAGTGAATCACATCGTCCGCGGGGATCTCCTTAGCCCTAAGGTCAAAAGAACGAAACTCTATCATAGGACTATTGGCTAGAGCTCCAAAAGGTGAGACTTATACCCGCTAAAATGACAAGGATGTCGCAGTAGGGAACAAGAAAGGGAGGTTTAGCTACAAAGTTGAAAGCACTCAAACAAGAGGACTTGTACCCCGTCTGGATCGAGGTGCCTCCTAACACCCTAAGCGTACTAGACAACCACCTAAGTGAAATTATGCTGGGCTAGCCGGATTGGAGAAGCACGGGGGCTACTCCTCGGGACATGCAAATATGATGCAATTATCTACCAATTTCCTAAACGTTGAAGCCCTATTAAGTATGATTGGGTTATAGTCATGCATTCAAACCATTTTTAAAAATAGTCTGAAGACCATGCTGAAAGTAATAATTGAGTTTAAAAAAAAACTTGAAAGTTTCAATCCTAAAATTTTGATTAACTTAATCTTTTATTATTAGGATTTTTAGGTAAAAAGAATTAGAATGTGAGGTTCAGATACACATAAAAAAACAATATAAAACGCTCTAATATACAAAGACACACGAGAAGAAAAAGGAAATGAAAGGCATCTCAAAAGAATATATAAAGAGGTCAAATGTCGTTGGACCGACAACATAATCCAAGAAAAACAGTAAAAGCGGTCAGACTCCACATATACATGTCTAGTCCTAAGTCTATACAAAACTGTAAAATTCAGACTTAAGGTACGGAACACGAGCTGCTGCTCCTGGTCCTCGTCACATGGTTCGGTGTGTCATCCGCCTCAAAACTTGTGTCCATACCTTATTTCTAATACATAATCTCCTATGACTCTATCAAATACATTTGAAATTGAAAAAAATGACTCAACATGCATAAAATAAGTGTTAGCGGGCACGCCATGCATCTTAAAAATAATAAATTGTGC